CCCCCCCCCCCCCCCCCCCCAATCTTATGGAAAATACAATGATATGAAATTAGTAAAATTCGATATCACACCAAAAGTTCACACATATCAAACCAATACACACTTAAATCATTTAACCAATTCTTACAAGGATATCGACACATTAACATTAACATAATTTTTCAAGAATAGTATATTAACTCTCTTATTTAATTATTATTAGCAAATAATATAAATTTTGAAACTCATAAGAGACTAAATAATTCAATTTTGAGTGATGGGAACCTTCACACTCTTCAAAGTAAGAAACTCATCTGAACATTCTGCGATGTAAGTTTAAGTGCGATAAATGTTCATCACACCCACTAATGCAAAACAAAAAATAACTCAATATAAGAAATTCTGTTTCGAAAAGTAATAATAAACGCTACTTACAAAATGATATATGAACCCAAAAACTAATATAAGTGCTTCTAAAAGGTAAGTGCAACCAAAAAATTAGTAAGTTTTATAAAAAAAAAAAATGATATAAATAATCTAAAAAAAGATAAATAATTTTGATATCGTAGTCAAAATCCCCATCTTAATATCAGGTTTGAGGAGGGTCAGAATTAGTCTCCTTTTTAGGTGAACTAAACACAACTGCCACATTCCTTTGCCAAATTATTCCTTTGCCAAATTATAGCAAATACTGAAATCTCTCTCTCTCTCTCTCTCTCCCCCCCCCCCCCCCCCCCAAAAAAAAAAAAAAAAAAAAAGTGAGGCTAAAAGTCAATAGAGCTCTTGGCCTTTATGACATACAGCTACTGTAAATCAGGTGTTGAATAATGGGTTTTTTCAAGCTCTACTCAAAGTTTTCTCAAGCCGACAAAATTGATGCTTGACTGTGATTTGTTGATTTCAAGTGAGTCCTAATCAAAATGATTACAGTTTAAGCTTGGGTAATTGGTAATGGATTAATATCATAGATGACCCTCCAATTATATTTTTTATTCGTTTTGAAACTCTATAAAACATAATAATCAACTCATTTCCTCTCTCATTTATCTGATTGTTTTTGGAAGTTGCCGAAAAATCCATGGACCTTGTAAACCCAGATTTAAACCCATTAAGTTAGTTCTAATGAGTTTTTAAATCAAACGTCATGAGTTTAAATTTTAATAATTTTTTAAAATTAAGTCACAAGAAATTATTTTAATTGAATGTCTTAGTTAAGTGTAAATGATCTTTCTTTCATTTAATTGGAGAAAAAATAAAGGAAGCAAGTTGGTCAAGATGTCCTTACCATTCAACCAAAAAAAACATGAGAGAGACAAAGGAGTGTCTCAGAAACAGTTAAACCTTCTGTTCAAAAAAAAAAAAGCAGTTAAACGCTAACCCGCTCAAACAGTGTTCATTTTACTGGAGATTTCTCTCCTGGGCTTTCATAATACCATCGAAAATGGTGGAATTACTGTCCCCTACCCCACAATTACCAGCTCTTCCCACTTTCCTCCTCTTTTCAGTCTTATAATAATTTCTTCTTCTTCTCCATGGTTGTTCCGCTTTGTCTGCACGTGCAACTCCCGCAATTCTCGCTTCCTACAAACCATTAAAAACACTTTGCTGTTTTGCTTTCTCAAAACAATTCCCATTTTTTAGTATCATCCCAATCATTTCTGGGTTCTCAAGCTATTACAGTTGACATTAATCATCACCGTTCAGTACGGCCTCTCTCTCTCTCTCTCTCTCTCTCTGTTTGCCATTCAAAGCAGAGAGTGGGATTGAGGGCTGATCCCGATTCGTCTGTGTTTAAGCAAGTTTCGGGCAGGGAAGGTTTTTCTTGGGAGCGATCTGATAGCTGAGGTTAGTCTTTTGCTTCTGTAACTGTCAATTTTGATTTGGCTCTGTTTGGTTGATGAGGCCTCTATCAGACTTGATATGATAGAAAAAGGAGAAAGCAGATAGTAAATGGATTTTCTGTTTGTTTCTTTAATTTTCTCGCCATCCAAACAGAGGAAGATAAAAAAGATGAACGATCGAAGTCAGTAATAGACTGAAGACAAAGCTCCATTTCAATTTTCTATTCATACCCAATTAATGTTTGCTTGTTTGACCAAANATGTTTCTTTAATTTTCTCGCCATCCAAACAGAGGAAGATAAAAAAGATGAACGAGCAAAGTCAGTAATAGACTGAAGAAAAAGCTCCATTTCAATTTTCTATTCATACCCAATTAATGTTTGCTTGTTTGACCAAAACGGCTCATACCAACCTCTTGATCAGTCTATTCCATCCATATGTCACTCGAAATTTCCAAAGAAACGGCTCTCTGTTTAAAGGAAATCATTTATAATTACAATTTACAGCATACGTTTCAATTGTATTTGAGGTTTATAGTTCTGCTTGTTCTTTGTGCAAATTCTTGTAGATGTGAAAGAGCTATTGCGGTTTGGGAGATTATCAAAATTCGATCTTAAGCAGAGTGAAGCAATGGACATCAAGTTCATTTTCTTGGCAATTTTCATGCTTGGAACTTTTTTCTTGCTGGTAACCACCGAACCCACTGAAGATAAACAAGCTCTACTTGATTTTTACAGTGGCATTCATCTCTCACGCCATCTCAATTGGGTTCAGAATTCTTCTGTCTGTAATAACTGGACTGGAGTGGCCTGCAATCATGATAGATCTAGAGTTATAGCCCTTCGATTGCCTGGAATTGGCTTTCGTGGCCCGCTTCCTTCAAACACTCTGAGTCGTTTATCAGCACTTCAGATCTTAAGCCTAAGATCCAATGGCATATCGGGTCCTTTCCCTTCTGATTTTGCCAGACTCGGAAACTTAACTGCCCTTTTTCTTCAATTTAATAACTTCCATGGTCCTTTGCCACCAGATTTCTCAGTTTGGAATAATCTTTCAATTATCAATTTGTCCAACAATGATTTTAATCTAAGTATTCCTTCTTCCATTTCAAATTTGACTCACCTCACTGCATTGAATCTTGCTAACAACTCGCTATCTGGTGAAATTCCTGATCTTAATGTACCTAGTCTGCAATTGCTAGATCTATCGAACAATAGGCTAACTGGGAGTGTGCCTCAATCTCTTCAGAGATTTCCCAGTTCGGCTTTCTTGGGAAATAATATTTCCCCTGAAAATTCATCTCCTCCATTGCCTTCAGTTCTTCCCCCCAACGCTCAACCAGTAAGCAAATCCTCAAAACTTAGTGAGCCTGCAATACTGGGAATCATAATTGGTGGTTGCACTCTGGGGTTTGTAGTAATTGCTTTGCTGCTGATTGTTTGCTATTCAAACAAACAACGAAAAAATGAGGTCCCGAAAAAATCCCAGAAGAAAGAAGGGATTGTAAAGAAACAAGTTTCCAACAAGCAAGATGGGAACAGCAGGCTTGTATTCTTTGAGGGTTGCAATCTTGCATTTGACTTGGAAGATTTGTTGAGGGCTTCTGCTGAGGTGCTTGGGAAGGGAACCTTTGGCACCACGTATAGGGCAGCGTTGGAGGATGCAACCACAGTGGCAGTAAAGAGATTGAAGGAAGGAAGTGTGGTGAGACGAGAGTTTGAGCAGCAGATGGAGGTTGTTGGAAGTATTAGGCACGAGAATGTGGTTGCACTAAGAGCATATTACTATTCAAAGGATGAAAAGCTCATGGTGTATGACTATTACAGTCAGGGAAGCATGTCTACCATGTTACATGGTATGTTAAACATTACCCCCTTGCTAATACTGTTGATTTGTCTGTTCACTTGTATCCTTTCTGCTCGTATGGACTAGAGAAGCATAAAAGTAGTCATTTGTACTCGTAACATGCTTTCGTTTCTGATATAGGTGAATCCTATATCTATTAGTGTGTCCTACTAAGCTTGTTATATCTTGTAGACACACAGGCCCTTTCCGTAGGGCATTGGGATGAAACTCATTTCTCCTATGTGAGACCTAAAGTGTTAGACTTTAGGGCATTGCAAAACTGGCTAAGGAGTTCTGTACATACGATACTTAAAGCCTTGCCAAACAGTTTAAGGAGGTCTGTGAGTACGATACTTCAAGCCTTGCCAAACAGGTTAATGAGGTCTGTATCTTAGGATGCTTAGCTCGTCTGAAAGCTAGGTTTGTATCAATTATCCTCACCACAAAAAAGGGTTTCTGAAGATTGTTTCTACTTCTTTCTTTCTTCCTTTATTTTTCCTCTGTTTCCATTAGAAGCCTTACAAAGTTTTCCTGAACCTTCATCCTATCATATCAGCCAAAGGTTTTTGTTTATGAATGCCAGAGAATATGGGTTCTGGGTAGGTTAACCAAGTCCTGTCTTCATGTCAGGCCTTGAAATTTCAGCTACTTATGCTCTCTCAGAAAAATGTCTATTTTTAATAACTTCTGTTAGTCGATTTTTGTTGATATTGAATACGTTTTCAATATCACCAAAAATTCTTGATAGACTCTTGGCTAACTNTACCAAGTCCTGTCTTCATGTCAGGCCTTGAAATTTCAGCTACTTATGCTCTCTCAGAAAAATGTCTATCTTTAATAACTTCTGTTAGTCGATTTTTGGTGATATTGAATACGTTTTCAATATCACCAAAAATTCTTGATAGACTCTTGGCTAACTTGGGTTTCGTCTATATAAAGTGTAATCAACAGGAGGCAGTAGCTGAATCTTACCCAAACCTTAGGTATCAGAAGAAGATCCTCTTTCTATCACACAGCTGTCACAAGTTTATGAATTTTTTACTTGGTTACAAGGATGTAATTATATTCTCATGCATCTGTGATTTTTTGTAGCAAAAAGAGGCAAGGACCGTACTCCTTTAGACTGGGAAACCCGTTTGAGAATTGCAATTGGTGTAGCAAGAGGTATTGCTCATATCCACACCCAAAATGGTGGGAAGCTTGTCCATGGGAACATAAAGGCCTCAAACATTTTCCTCAACTCCCAACAATATGGTTGCGTTTCTGATCTTGGCTTGGGAACACTGATGAGTCAAATTACTTCAACAGTCATGTGGAGAGCAGGGTACCGAGCCCCAGAAGTGACAGACAGCCGGAAGGTCTCCCAGGCATCTGACGTTTACAGCTTTGGGGTCCTGCTGCTTGAACTTCTTACTGGAAAGTCCCCCATACCTACCACGGGTGGCGAGGAAGTTTTCCACTTGGTCAGATGGGTTCATTCTGTTGTTCGAGAAGAGTGGACAGCTGAGGTGTTCGACGTTGAGCTTTTGAGGTATCCTAATATAGAGGAGGAGATGGTGGAGATGTTGCAAATAGGCATGACTTGTGTGACGAGGATGCCAGAACAGAGGCCGAAAATGCAAGATGTAATGAAGATGGTAGAGGGTATTAGAAGGGTCAATACTGGTAACCGGCCATCTACCGAAGGTTCAACGCCAACTTCTTTGACACCACCTGTGGTTGAACTAGGATCCTCTTCTGTTTCATAGTGAGATTCGTACTAGGGTGAGTAGTTGTGATGCCATTTTTTTTTTCTTCTTTTAGGTTCTTCATTACCACAGTCAGTCTTCCTAAAATCTGTAGTACTTTTTGAGTCTGTGTATGTTGGTTTTCTTTGACATCAGTTTACCTACCTGATCCAGCTAAAAGCCCAAAAGTCAGGTTGGTTTTTGATGGGGACTGGGTTTATTATAGTTTTGAGTGATGCTGAATNAAATTGGTGCCTCAGATCAGTTTACCTACCTGATCCAGCTAAAAGCCCAAAAGTCAGGTTGGTTTACTGAATTCTTTGATGGGGACTGGGTTTATTATAGTTTTGAGTGATGCTGAATAATGGAACCTTCTCCTTCTCTCCCTGCTTGTATCCACTGTAATATGATTGTATCTAACTGATTCTATGAAGACATTTCTCCAACCACTTCATAAAAAAGAGTAATGACAAGTCAAAGGCATTGTGTAATGGGTAAATATTAGGGTTGTTAATCCGAGGAATAACTCAAGTGATAATAGGGATAAACTGTAAACTTAAATGTTCTAAATTTGAATCTCGACAAATCTTTTGGGTCAGGACATCTTTGACATTAAGCGAGGGATACTCTTAACCATTGAATCAATATATATTGGGTCGGTACCGTTGTTTGACAATGAAGTTATATTTATTAAGAGTAAATATCTATTCCAGTCGGTTTACATATTGATTGAATTAAATTCGTTGACAAGATGATTTTAAAATTTTTAATCAAATTTAATTTATTTTATAGTTTTAATGAGCATAAATAAAAACAAAATTGAATTGAATCTGTGCCACTTAAATCGTTCTATGTGTCGCAATAACTAATAATGACACATATCGTTCTATGTGTCCCAATAACTAATAATGACACATATAGTGTCATTGTTTTAACAAGAAAAATGTAGGGATGAGTATGTTTTTAAAATAATGGATCTGAAGATGAGGTTGTTAATATTTCACAATTAACAATATATAAAATTACAATTAGATTATTTTTTTGGTTAAATAATTAAGGATGTCTGGATCAATTTATGTGTACCTTGATTAATTATCTTTTTGATTTGGTCAAAAACAGATCGTTTATACCAAAAAATAAATTCTTAACGATTTAATCTCAAAAAATTACTAAGATTCGAATTTAAGATTAAGTTTCCCCAATTAAATCATTCATTGATCCATCATTTGGAATTAGGAAACAAGTTGAACCGTTAAGCTAACGACAAGGAAGCAACCAGTGCGACCGACCACCGTGCCCGGTGGCCAATCGCTGGATCCAACTAAACCACACAAACGAAGAAGGCCAAAGCGATATTCCCTTCGTTATGTCCCCCAAACGACGTAGTCCGGTCATCACGCTTTAAGGCCTAAGGGTGATAATTTTTGGAGTAACGATATTAAAACGACTTAATTTACTAATTTTTGAATTAACTGTAGAGTCCATTAAATATTGAAATTTGGTGTTGATCTAATGACTCTACTGAAGGCACATTATTATGTCAATAAATTAAATCAAATTTTTAAGTTCAAATAACATTACTTTAACTTTTGACAACACGAGATCAGTCCGATACAAGTTAGTGGATTTAAGATTGACCCGTTCTTGAAATGAACAAGAAAATAACACAATTGCTCCCATAAATAATAGGATAAATTGTATTTTATAGCTTATAAAATTTTAAAATTTATATTTTATATTTTTAAAAATTAAATTTATCATATTATTCTCATAATATATTTAAAATATTATAATGTGACTTTTTTTTAATTTTTCGTAAGTGTTAGTGTGGTAATTTTTGATGAAAAAAATTTAATTAATTAGAAATGTTGGAGGACTGGGTGGGTCCCACGAGAATGGGAGGAGAACTCCAATTGGCCAATGAGAAGAAGAGGAGGTGAAAGTAGATGGAGACGAAGAATCTCTAGTTCTCTCTCCATAAGAATCAATCAATCCAGAACAGAACATTCAGCACATAAAAAGTCATCACCACCAGCACCCACCGCCCACCGAATTGCCGCCTCTTTCTTCTTCTTTTCATCGGAAAAGGAAAAGGAAGATAAATTCCGCCGCCCTCCGTCGGATCACAAAGCGCCGGAGGGATTGTGGGAGGATTGATTTTTCATTTCTTCGCAGGTAAATAAATCACCAACGATCCGCAAAGCTCGCTAATTTTTTCTTATACTTTTCGTGTATGCGCCTCTTTTCGATTTATGTTTTGAGTTTTGAGGTTTCTGAAGTCGATCTGAGGTGATTTAGGTGTTGAAATCGTAGGACTTGCCATGGCTTCAAAGCGGATTTTAAAGGAGCTCAAGGATCTCCAGAAGGATCCTCCTACCTCTTGCAGCGCTGGTAATCTCTCTTTCTTCTCAGAAAAGAAATTTTTTTATACATGTATCCATATATAGGCATGCTCTCGTAAGCAAATATATATATACATACCCACGCACAGGTACTCTGTCTTAGTATTGCTTGGTTTGATCTACTTGGTTTTGGTTTTCTACCCTTTATGTTGTCTATGAAGCTGTTTTGGGGTTATCAGTTTGGGTATGTCTTTGTAATTGTTGAATATATGTGGGTTTCTGCTGTCGTGTTCGAAAATCTGGTTTGTGATCGTTACAAAATAGCAAGGTCGGAAAGATAGCATTTTGACTGTTCTGCTTTGATGTTCACATCTTGCAGTATGATCTACATTTCCATTTAAATATATGGCTAGCATTTCTGTGCATAGCACTTTCTAAATGGTTATATGCTGATCCAAGTTGTGGGTAGGATCATACTTCTATGGGTTTAATTAGATTTATGTTCTTGTTACTGTGACTATAATGATTGAGCTACAGGATGTGGAGTCCTAATGTATTGGACCCAGGTACAGAGAATTGATATGATGTGTACAACTTAGAGTGACTTGACATTGTCACATATAAAATCTTCTTAGATAACAACGCCTATTAAGAAGTGATCAAATGGAAATAGGAATATTTATTTGAGCACTGACAATTGAGATAGCCAACCAATCAATGGAGCAGTTTGTTTTCTGTCTAGGGCTTTGATTTGTCGACTTAGGCGATCAACCAATGTGCTTTGTTTTGCTAGATCTGAATCTGTGAAGGGCCTAAAATTCTGAGAAACCAGACCATTCCAGCTTTTAAATCATGGTCTTAGTTGGTAAGAACTTCCATTTTTTTCCCATCTTTCTTTTGGTTCTACACGCTGAAGAGAACCTGATGAAGTATTGCACTTCTGCAAGTTATTCTGTCATCTCTCATTTCTTCATTATCTGTGGGATTGTTTGTGTGCTTCTAAGTTTCAAAATGTTGATTGTTTAAATCAGCACTTGTATGATTTTGGTTAATGTCTTTTTCTGTGAGCAGTTTTACTCATGTTGCAACTTTGCCTTTCGTTTACTGTCAGCTGTGTTATTTGTCTGTTTATCTTGTTATTTTGTGTATGTTTCAGGTCCTGTTGGAGAGGACATGTTCCACTGGCAAGCAACAATTATGGGTCCTCCAGATAGTCCTTATGCTGGTGGAGTTTTTCTGGTTACCATCCATTTTCCTCCAGATTATCCATTCAAGCCACCTAAGGTACCTCATTTGTTCTTATTTCTCTCATTAAGTTGCTCCTGTACTCTGATTTCCCTACTATATGCAGAATAATCTTTTTCCCAGTGCAGATATTTTGAATCATTTGCAATTTGGCTCTTCCCAACTCTGAACTTGGTTTTGAAGTGTGAATATGGACGTTGTTTTGATACCCTTTTTTTATTGTGGCCCATAAAGGGCCGTTGATCTTGTCTGAGACACTAAAAAATAAGTCACGTTTAATGTTGGAGGGTGGAGGTATCATGATCTTCACATTTTTAGTTAATGTTAGAATAATTAGAAAGGATTCGGCATTTAAGGGTCAGTAAAGTCTTGGTTGCAATGTCTGAGTAAATTTGTTCCTTAAGGTTGTCTCCACTCTCCTACAGTGGTGCAGTTACAATTTGTTTCTTCTGAAGAAACTTTATAGTTGTGCCCCCAAAACAACATAAGAAATTGGTTTATGTATAATTCGTCCCCAATCAACAATTGATGAATTAAGAGCTCGTTTTAGTTCATCTTACATGCTGTATCTATCACCAAGAATGGAGATTTATGCTTTGAGTAGCTTGACTTGAAGGAATCTCACCTTCTTGTATGGAGCAGCTTGCATATGTGTTCTGAAGTTAGATAGTTTCTTTATTTTTTGAAGAGGGTCCAAAGTGTTGGTTTTTTTGTGGAGTCTAGTTTGTATATGCGATCCGGATGATGACCCGAGCCGAAGTAATGTTGCGTGGTTTTTTAATGGGAAATTTTCTGAGGCTTAGTCCATGGAGCGAAGGTTTGGGCCCGTTATATAACCCAGTGCGTAGGACATATAAAATTGTTATTTTGGTGTTAGGGTTAATATAGTGGATTGTACAGCCGCTCTCTGTATTCAACTCTCTCAATAGTGAAATCCCTGCAGCTTCGTGGACGTAGGCAAATTGCCGAACCACGTAAAATCTGTGTCTTGTTCTTTTTTGTTTCTTATTGCTTTATATTCTTGATTTGTTTTTCGATTGTGTGTGTTTGTTAGTGGATTTAAATTGTTGTAAAATCCCAACACAAAGGAAATTCATTGTTGTGCTCCAAAACAAAATATAGGCTTCCTAATATCATTTACTTAAATTAGTTCATTTTCTAGTCCATTAACCCTCTTGCATGCTGTATTAAGGCTGCCACGGTTGGGGAACTATATTCCTGCACAGCAACAATCTTTTTGCATGCAACTGTAAAACTGTATACATCAAAACCTTCCCAGTCATACAGTGGCAGGAGTCTTGTTCATTAGGTTGCCCTTTTTAAGCTATGGGTTAAACCAAAATAAGAACCGTGTAAGGAATGTCATTATGGTTGTTCCAAGTGTTTTTGCTCGATGTTCCATTGTTTCAATAATCCTTTTGATTCTATTGTTGAAAGTTAAACTCGACATTTCTCGTGTATTCATGTGGATGAAACATGCAGGTTGCATTTAGGACAAAGGTTTTTCACCCAAATATCAATAGCAATGGAAGCATATGCCTTGACATCTTGAAGGAACAGTGGAGCCCTGCCCTAACCATTTCCAAGGTTCTCATCCTAAACCACATACCTCTAACTTGGTAAATTAGGCTAAGCCACCACAAAGAATTCACAACAAAATTGAATTCTAAGTGGTGATATTCCTGCCATAAACACCCTGAAAATTTGGCAGATCACATGTTATTGCCCTAGTTTGTGCTCCGGGTACTGATCAGGGGTATTATCCATTCCAAGATCTGGAGCTCATCAGGGCCTGACCCTGTCCTTATCCTTGTATCCCTCACTTATTGCTTTGCTATTTGGTTTTTGATGCACCCAAAGTGATACATGCACTGGTGTGCTGGTAGATTGCTTGCCTTTATATTTAAGTGGACCAAAATCTTAACATTTTGCATTTACAGGTTTTGCTTTCAATCTGTTCTTTGTTGACGGACCCAAACCCTGATGATCCCTTGGTGCCAGAGATTGCTCACATGTACAAGACAGACAGGAACAAGTATGAAACTACTGCAAGGAGCTGGACCCAGAAGTATGCCATGGGCTAAGAATATCATCTTATGTCTAAGGACAGGGGAAGTATTACTCTTTCAAATACTTTGGTGTTCCCATTCTATTTGTGAATTGGTTTGATCTGTCCGTTGATCCGAACTGGACAAAAGAAAGGTCCCTGATATGCCCTTTAAAAGAGGGAGAAACACAGATGTTACTTCTGAATGTTTGCATATGTAATTTAGTCTCCCCAACTAAGCATTGTTTCCATATATTTGTCTACACAAGTACCTAAACTAAGCATTGTTTCCATATATTTGTCTACACAAGTAGTTCTATTCCTTTCTGAAAAGCAGAAAAGGTAAACGAGCAATAACCAAAATAAGAGTCTTGCCAAAGACAGATGCACTGCCTGACCACTTTATATCCAGCTCTGGAACTTGCTCTATGAATTCAGGCGCGAACGAGCTGCAAACCCCCGGTAATTCTCTGCAATTTGCCTACTAAATTTCATAAAGCATTCCGACTTGCAAGGTCGTTCCTGGTGGGACTTCATGTATGGAAAGTTCAGGCCTACAGTTTTTCTGCTGAAATCTGTACAGGTAATCTATTATGAATCGAACAAACCATCCACTGTTCGGGTTTGTCTTCAGAATTGTCCTGCCTATAGCAAAAACAACTCCCTTTTCTGCTGCTGAATCTAGTCTTTCTATTTCTTCGGTGGTTTCAGTTTGCTCTTTGAGTTTTGCCAGCACTGAAGCAACAAATTCATCTCCGGCAACTGCAATGCTCTGTGAATCATTGTAACCAAACTGAACCAAACACCTATAAACCCCATCACTTCCCAGTTTTCCAACATTAAACCTTTCCTCTGGTAGAACCTTTTTGACTGGGAGTGTTCTAAAAGTTACAATCACCATGGTTTCATGCACAGAACTTGTGTGCTGAATGTAATGCCGGATGATGGGTGGAATCCCATTGACAAGATTAGTATAGAAGAAGCAAGTTCCGGGTGCTCGATAAACTGTATTTCTTGCTAGCATTTGGTTCAGTTCACCCAAGCTCATCTTCCTATCGGCTTCATATGCATTCTTCCTACTCCTTCCATATAACCAGGAGAACATGACTGTCAAGAAGAAAGCCGAGATAGCAAATGGAACCCATCCTCCTTGTGGGATTTTGGTGAGCAAGGATGTCATAAAGACACCTTCAATCAGTATGTAAGGCACGAAAAACATTAGTATGAGAAGAACATGTGTGTCCCAAACGAGCAGCATCACCAACGTTGTCAAACACGTTGTAATGATCATTACCCAGATAACAACCGCACCTGCCAGGCCCAACCAAACAAAAAGGGGCCGAGTTAAATGATTATCCTTCTATTTTTGAATATCTGAAGTTACAGAAACTAGATTTGTCAAAATTCAACAAATAAATGACACGAATCGACAGAGAGTTAATTGGGCTTGGGTGAGGTTTTAACAAATTCTGGTGATAAATGAGTCGTGTTCGTGTGAGACATGTCAATCCGTTTAATTAAAATTAATATAATGATTAAAAAAATGAGCCAAAATGATATATGTAGTTATTAATTAAATCAATTTTTTTTTAAAAGTTTAATAATAAATTTTTTTAGTGAATTACAACATTTTTAATGACAAACGGGTGACAAGTTAAAAGGGTTATCGTGTTAACTTGATTCGTTTATTAAACGGGTTAAACGAGTTATGTTGTATAATCCAGTTAATACATGAATCGTGTTCAATTTAAAATTTTTCACCCGTTTATTTAAACGAATTGTGTACAAATTTACTGATTTTCACACGAAGTCAATTAGACTCTACTTGTACCCGTCTAACTCGTCGCAGTTGTCAACCTTACCTTTAATTTCTTATAATGCGATACCTAGTAACAAGTCTCCCTTCTCGGAAATGTAATCAAGAAAAGATCATTGAAGGAGACTTACCGTAAGCATTTGCTAGAGCAACACCATCTCTAAACCCAATGACAAGTCCAATACCTAGAATCATGAGAGTGTAGTTTATCTCTGGGCAATAGATTTGTCCTTCATGCTTTGAAGAAGTATGAATTATATGAAACCCGAGGGAAGCAACCCAGAGCCTGAGACTGCTTCACTATAGAAAAGCACGCAGATATCATAGACTGGCTTGCAACAATGGCGGCGAGGTTGGAGAGAATGAACATCGGCCAGAACACGGGTTTTGGAACGGAACTGAAATAGGCGTCGGTGATTTTATCAGGGTGTTTGATTAAATAGGCTGTCTCGCCGGCGTAAGCCAGGACCATCGCCGGATAAACGATGAAAGAGAAAGAGAACTGCACCAAGCCATATATTCCAATGAAATTACAGACAATTTAAAACCGGAATCAGAGTTATTTAACCGAATCCGGCTCCTCTATTGTTAAAACAATACTGTTTTAATCAACAAAAGGAGAGAATTCTCACCCTAGTTAACCTACTCTAATGGTTTGAGAAAACTTACTTGAATGGCTCTCTTGTTGAAGTGACCCATATCAGCAAACATGGCCTCAACCCCTGTCCCATAATTTAGAAAAGATTGGCAATGAGTCTCTCTCTTTTTACTATGGAAGTTGGAAAGATTTTTGTTATTGCGATTTCTAGACGTGACAACTTCATGCATGATTTGCGACATAACACAAAATGGACATAGAATTAGCCGAATTTTTTTCAAAAGTATTGTGATTTTCAACCTTGCACCTGATTTTTAGTTTATTTTTTAAACTACCATTATTTATATTATTCTATGTGAGTGTGTCACACTTTTATATTAAAAAGTTTAGGCTAAAACCGCGTTTTATATAAACAATGATAGAAGTTGAAAAACACTCGGGGGGATTAGAAAAACGTAGTAGGATGATAATGAGCAGATTTGGGTAAATGAACCGGACTAGACATGACATAAACCATCTATGAAGTATACGGCAAACTAACTAGGCTTTGCGAGACTAAATGGATCAAAAATGAATTGAATAAATTTTGATATAACTTGATATGGACTCGATATAATATGATGGATTACCAACTTCAACTCCAAAACCAAGAAATTATTTACCTGTTATGCTCAAGAACACTGCACCGAGGAGATCCCAACCAATCTTGCCATTGCGTGAGAAGATTTGAAAGCTGTAGTGAGGTGACACTGCCTTCAAAATGGATGGTTGGTGTCTGAAGATATTGTAGATTCCGATTGCAGCATTTGTAACAAACCACAACAGCATAATTGGAGAGAATGCGAAGCTGACTTTACTAGTTCCACAACGTTGGAAGGCGAAGAGGATTATTAGAACAACAACCGCCAAGAAAACAATCTGGTCTGCAACAACAATAACCAGAACACCTGGGTGAGTTTTCGAAGCATCTCTATTTTTTTTTGTTGGGAAAATAACACTTTGACCCCTTTTTAATTATGGAATCAATTTTAATTTGGCCCTTGAATTATTGAATTTTTTACATTCCCCCTAACTACTTGAATTGAATTCGCAATGTCCCAATTCGCAGAAGCCCGTAATCTTGTGAATGAAAATTGTCAATATGCCGGGGGTAACGTGAAATTAGTTTGAGGCAAAATAAAATAGTTTTAAATTAAATTTATAATAGATGTTAATCATTGGGATAATATAAAATTAATAACATAGTTGTAAATTCAATATTAAAAACACGATAGTTGAGAGGACAATATAAAAAAATTCTGGTCGAGGAAATCAAGTGTCAGTTGCTCTATTTTGGTCCTTTTTATTTCAACATTTAGTTGCTTTTTATACCTCATGGTCCAGTCAAGATTAAGGCATCGTTTGACAATATTTCTTAAGCATATTTTGTTTAATTTAACTTTTTATATGGTTGATTCCTTCCATCCAATCCAAGTGTTACATAACATAGATCATTCCCTAGTAGTTTGTGTGAGGGAATGTCCTCTCTAGTCTCTACTCGCTTGACCTTACATTTTGTTCTATATTTTATGCTTTTCTTTTTTATTTGGGTTTGTTCTGATTCTATTTTTGTGAAAGAGTAAATTATGCATATGAACTTTAAATTATGACTCTTATGTTAATTAATTTCTTGAATTTTTTTTTTTTTGGTATCAATTGAGTTATTGAATTTTCTAATTGTGTCAATTGAGTCTTTTTGTCTGCCTTAGTCAGACTTTTTAACGGGAAGTGGAGAAATGTGACGCTCATGTGCACAAATGAGTTACAACTCAATCACGTGAGTAGTACATTTTGTTAGTTTCTATTAGAAAATCTAACGAGTAGATAGAAGACCTCAATTGACATAAATAGAGAGTTTCGGAACTCAATTGGCGAAAAAAAAAGTTCAAAAACTTTGATACGAGGGTCATAATTTAAGGATCGTACGTGTAGTTTACTCTTTCTCAAATCCCTATCACATATATTGTTGCCTTTTAGAGAACTCAGAAACAAGGGTACCTTGTGTTATTTTTGAGGTTTCTGCTTGGGTTAATCCTTGAAGAGCTGGAAGAACTGCAAGAACAAATCAATCATGTATATATATATATTTGCAGAAATACACCAAACCATTTAGCGTCGTAGTGTCACATATGACCTATAAATATGAGTGTGTGCGTGTGTGTGTGATAAAACTGGAAGTTTACCACAAGTTGCAGGAGTGAGTGCCCCATCGCCAATGACCATGCAAGTTCCAAGCAACACAACGAAAGTAAGAAGATTCTGAGCAACAGAGCTTCTCTCCAAGAACTTCTTAGTCTTTGATCGGAGAGGACTCCCCGGAGGCCGGTAATACGTCAGATTTCCAACGGACTCCAACCTTGTGTTCTGAAACGTGAGTCTGCTGTGAAAACTTATATGTCGCCGGATAATCGAGTACAGAGCGAAGGTACCACCTTCTCCATGATCATTGGCATGAAGAACTATGAACACATATTTGACCAGACAGAGTAATGTCATAGTCCAAAAGATGAGGCTTAGGACACCTACTAGGTCGTCTTCATTAAGGTTTGTGATGGCCGTGGAAGAGAAAGTGTTGACTGGGGATGTTCCCAGGTCTCCATATACAACTCCCAGAGCTTGGTATGCCAGCATCCATGTTTGCAGTGTAGGATATTCCTGAAGATCAGAGAGAGACAGAGTGAGAGAATCAAATCTTCCTCTTAATAAAATGTTGGAATTCTTCTTAAATTAGAGTTTTGTTAATTATTTTAAGTGATATGTTTTTGATGGACTTATGTAAATCTTCAAATAAGACACAACAAGAGGTTTCAACAAAATAGGCAAAAATTGAATAACCATCGAAAAAAATCGTACCCGACGTTTGGTTTATACGCCGTATATTCTGACATTAAGAAAGATCTCAAACCAAAAAAATCCAAATTTCTTATAATAAGAGGAAGATATTATCCTTATATTATCGCAATAGGATCCGAGAATTGATTATCGTGACTCATAGAAGTGGTTCTAAATTCATAGACAATTTAGTGAAATCTTACGTAAGATGCTACTCGCTACTTATTAACTACCATGAAGTAATCAAATGAACCCAAAGTCAATGCAGCAAGTCTTGGATTCCAAGTACTTTGGAATGCAAACTCCACCGCTTAAATATATCCCTGTCCCAGCCCATTTTCTTTTCTTTCTTATCTTTTCTCAGTATGTCAACACACACTTCCAGGCAACTTTAATGTGGAAGATGGAGCTTTGAAAGCTACATTCAGAGTCACTCTTGCTTCTGCACCGATCCGCTTAAGGTGAGTTTGAGGGAAAAAGACAAGGGTACAGTGCCCGAGACTTTCCTACAACGGGTCTAAGAGAGATAAGTAATAATTTCACTCGTATTTTAAAAAGGTTAATTTCAAGATTCAAATTTAAGTTATATTAGTTGGATTAATATGCATGCGTGTAATAAGAAGGAAAAAAAAAATTTAACAAAAAATATACCTTAAGTTTGTTTATAGGAACCTGATATATATCACTGAAACTCAAGGATTTGTCTACAATATCCATTCGTTCGATATGTTTGCTGCGTAGGTCGGAACCATTAGATGCCGTTTCAAGGTCTCCTTCTACGGTGGAATTGCTGGCTTGTGCATCTGCCATGAATCTAACTTCTGAGCTACTTTATTATGCAATTAGGGTTGTGCTGCTTTTTCTGCTTCTTGCCTCTTCTTATACAAGTTGTCTCAAGAAGTGCTATGCATGTAGTACATTCATTTACAGCCATACAAATAATATAAGAGAGCAGGTAAATCAAACGCTACAGAATTGTGATTGGCCTATGTGCAATTACGCACGCGGAAAGATTATAAAAGAGAGCAGGTTAAGTCAATCCAAATCCATAAGTACTAGCCAAATAATGGAATTAACAAATGAAACCTTTCAAAGAATCATAGTTTATCAGTACTTTCACTTCACCAGGAAACTCTACCGTTCCCCCAAAAAAATATTTTAATATCGGTATTATCTGTTACCAATTTTTACGACAAAATTATAATTTTAACAAAAAAGAATTACAATTATTCAAAAACATGTGATCAATCATGAAAATTCTGGTATCGATGTCAACTTTTCATGATCGATCACGCATACCTTTTAAAATTGCAACTTGTATACGTATCAAAAAAATTATAATTTATCCTTAAAAAATTATAATTTTTAATACCAGTGCCGTCGGCAGCATCATAACATTTTCCAACTTCACCACATACAAATTCAGTTTAGTCATTCTCTAGTTTTCTTTCTAATTATGGAAAAAAGTGATTAAATTAAAAAACTTCTCAAATTAGGTTGTGGGAGGGTTGATTTGACAAGTGCTTAATAGTTATCTAATTACTTGTGACAAGGCATCGTGTAGGTCTATGGATTACTTAACCGCCTTTATGCTCTTTGATAGAAAAGATTAAAAATACGAAAGATGAAAAATAGGAGAGATACATTTTTTATTCTTTAAGGATAAAAAATAAAAAAAATATATTTTTCTTTCTTTGTGTTTGGTTAGATGAATGGAAAAATGACAATTTTTTTTTTTTTTTGGTGTTGGTTAAGATTAGGGGTGATAATCGAGTCGAGTCATGTCGTGTCAGATTTGTGTTGAGTCATTACAAGTTTATGTCGAATATTAGTCAAACCTAACTTAACTAATTTAATTAATTGTGTCGTGTCGAGTTGTTAGTTGACCTGTTTATTTTCGTATCGAGTTCGAGTTGTGTCATTATGTTGAGTCGAAAATTTTCACCTTTAGTTAAAATGAAATTTTTTTTTTTTAATTTAAAATTTTTATCTTTTAATTTTTTTAAATTTTTTAAAATATATATACATATTTTACTATTGTATTTTTTAAGTGAAATCAATGTATACATAAAATATATAGACAAATAAAATATATCTCAACACAAATAATTAAATTTCTATTTATTTTCCTTCCGATTTTGGAGGAATTGATTTTGGTGAGTTGGAAGGAATGTTAATCCATCCACTTTTCCATCTTTCCTATTTTCTTTCATTACCAAACATGATATTTTATTTATCCCTCCAACTTTCTATCTTTTCAACTTTCCATTCTCCCACTTTTCCATCGTACCAAATTGAGCATTAGTTTTTATACTTAATGACTAACTAATGCCAACCGTCCCTGAATATTAAAGGTATCAATTGAATTATATCGTGTTATATCTGTATTACATTAACAAAAACCGTAAATCAAGAATTGCAAAATTAGGGCCCTCTTTTTTCTTGGTCAAATCTACTTTGTATTTAATTGATTATTAGATCCACCACGTATTGATTCTTATAAATTAAAAATGTGCTTAGTTTTATGTCCAAGGGAGTGGCCAATGGAAGAAGTTCCCATTGACGTTACAGTTTATAGGTCACATGGGTTTACCCAAATTTAGTAACATTCTACAGGAAAGATCTGGCCAGTATCAAATAGCTTTCAAACTTTCCAAATACAATGAAGAAGAAACCTGAAGCTTAATACCTTCTTTTCTGAGCCCAATCCACTTTGTTCTCCACATATTATTTATTAAAAAAAAAACAGAAAAATTTCAACCACATCCTTTTTAATTTATCATATTCAAAACATCACTAACATTTCTTTTAGTTTATATTTAAATATCATTGACTCCCCCTCTGTTAAACCTCCATTTTTAAAAAAAAAAATTTTTATCTAAAATACCAAAATTGTCCTTACATAAACCATAAACAATCTGTCTACATAAAATTCAAACCGATTAAAATTCAAGTTAATTAAAATTCATTTTTCTACATATTAAAATTTAAACTGATTAAATTTATTTTTTTATGTATTAAATTTCTAACCTATTAAAATTTGAACCAATTTGAATTCAACTTGAACTATTACCGCTAATTAAAATTCGGTTCAAGTCAATTAAAATTTTTTTTTTTTTATTTATTAAAATTTGATTCAAGCCGATTAAAATCAATTTTAATCGGCCCGAAAATTTTAATACATAAAAAAAATTATAAAACAAAGGAGATCTCGTTGAAGATATACTTATCTAGAGATGATGTAGATTGAATTTTTCCTAAAACATATCATAGACAATTTAATAAAATTGTACCTTAGTGAAGGCCTTCAGGAGATGTCAGTAAATATTTAGAAAATAGAGGAAGTGTCCTTAAACATATAATAATTTAGAAAAAGCGTGACCGAAATTTTCCCAAAAAAAAACTATTCGATCCACATTTTTAAAAAATCAAATGATAAAATCTTAGTTCTTTAGCAATTCATATCATACTACACAACAAAATGAATAATAAAAACAGATTTTCTTCCTATAACCCCACTTAGACATTTATCGTATCAGAATCAAACAAACTTACCATTTGATTTCTTCCTTTCTAAGTTCTCACCAACGTAATGGGTCGTGCAAAAAATTGTCACCCTTAACACTGAAAACTAGTTATATGGTAGATGGGTTCCTGATACTGTTGGTAATGCAGTTATGCAATTGAGGGACGTCGTGAAGATAGAACACAATTGAGATTACCCATTAGCTAAAGTTTCTCACAAACACTTCAAAAATTAATGGTCCATCAATATCCCCAAAGCGATCGACAACAGGAATTAGAAAAGATATATTAAGCAAAACTGAGATCAACTGTGTAAAAATTGATTGTAACACAATATGTCAAAATCTATTCTCGATCTAAAACTTGAACTACAACTAAGCAGCCACCAGAAGGGGTGGAAAAGGAGAAGAGAGAGTATTTCCTGTGCTATGTGGTGATGAGATGAGCATCTACCATGAACAAAACCGCTCATCTGTATACGTGTGTAACTAAATAAGAGCCATGGTTGCATTATACCAGGAAGAAGTGGGTCTACCTCCATTTGGGTAAGACGTGCTTTGCAGGCTGCAGTAAATATGGATTTGAGCAGCTTCCCCAATCTTATCTTTAAGTAGCATACTGATGATGCAGAACATACTTCACAACTTCGTAAAACGAAACCACAATGCCCACGGAAGGTCCTGCACGGCCAGCACGAGGACCAACAACCATGAATAGTCCCTTCATCCGACCATCCCTGCACCAGGAACAAATTCTAATTCAGGATTCATTTAGCTGCAATTAACAAAGATTATATGGCGTTGGCAAAGAAAAACGAATAAGTGTGAAATTTCACAGATGGGACTCTATTTTTTCATCAAACAAAGTAAAAGATAGAACAACATTTGCAAAGACAAGTTCGGATTCCAGTTACACATGACATTAGCTATATAACGTTGTAGTGTTCCATGCACCCATTATACCGGTTTTTTTGAGGCTAATTGGCAATTAATTATAGAGATCTACCTCCAAACCTCCATTAGTGTTTGTCTCGTTGTCATCCTCAATGCCCTGGCATGATCTTTCTGTTAAAAGTAAGGATAAAAAAACAGAATACTTTAGAATAAATTAAAGAAGTCCTGTTCAGACATAAGATTCTGGCCTTAGTTTACATATATTAATAAAAATCACTGACTATTATCTCCGATAAATGCTACATTAACGACATGCTCCAACTAGGTTTTAAACCTTTCATTATTCCCCTTAGAGTGGAAGAAGATACCACTTGAGGAAATAGATAATAGTCGGCATTGGGGACACAATATTGATTTTTTTGTTGTGCGGGGGGGGGGGGGGGGGGGGAAGAGTATTATGTTTCAAAAGCTAGTCCGCTTTATTTACCACAGCAAACTAGGAAGGCAGAAGATATAACATGGAGTAGGGAGGATAGACACTGATTCTACTGGTATGGTCAATGATAGTAGCATGTAACAAAACCTGTTGGTGATTTTTTTTTATATAACTTGACACACACCAATACTAGCAAAAAAAAGGTGAAGATGAGTCTAGCCATGAGAATAAACCTCAATTTGCCTTCTGGTTTTCGCAACATCAAGTGGAGATGTAGCAGCAGCAGCAAGGCTTCCTGCAACAAAACCAGCAGAGAAAGTTGCACCAAGCACACTGTTGTTGGGATTTAACAAACACACATAATCGAAAAACAAATTAAGAATATAAAACAATAAGAAACAAGAAAGAATAAGACACAGATTTTACGTGGTTCGACAATTTGTCTACGTCCACGAAGCTGCAGGAATTTCACTATTGAGAGAGTTGAATACAGAGAGCGGCTGTACAATCCACCATCTTAACCCTAATCACCAACAACAACGGGTTTTATATATCCTATGCACTGGGCTATATAACGGGCCCAAAAATTTTTCTCGGGGGCGTTGCTCCCGAACCCCCACGAGGCTTGTCCATGATAGGCCCAAGCCTTTGCTCCATGGACTAAGCCTCAAAAAAATTTTCATTAAAAAATCACACAACATTACTTTGGGTCGGGTCATCATCCGGATCACATATACAAATTAGACTCCACAAAAAACCAACAGGCTGCATTAGCTTCCTCACCCACCAGACCAAGAAGTCGTCTTTTCATCTGTACAGAGAATTTGAAAAAATAAAACTAAATTATATAAAATACACTCACAGCCAGAACTACACTACATTTTTGAAGAATAAAATCTAACCGGTTCAAGGGTCGACCAACAAATAGCACAAAAAGGCACATCACGAGAGAGCGGTGCCCCAAGGCCCGTCCATAGGACACGGTGGCTTTGCACTGCAACAGATAAATACAACACCAATTAAATTCAAGAGCTCATAATAGAAATCCTTACTAGAAACAATACGCTGAGATGATAGAGAATACATGTCACTAAATATTGGCAAAACATAGTGTAGTTTAATGTTAAAATAATTAGAATGGATTCAGCATTTAAGGGTAGGTAAAGTGTTAGTTGCAATGTCTGAGTGAATTCGTTCCTTAAGCTTGTCCCCACTTTCCTACAGTGGTGCAATTGTGATTTGTTTCTTCTGAAGAAACGTTATAGTTGTTCCCCAAGAACAACATAAGAAACTAGTTTATGTATAACTCGTCCCCATTTAATTATTGACGAATTAAGAGCTCGTTTTAGTTCATCTTACATGCTATATCTATCACGAAGAATGGAGATTAATGCTTTGAGTAGCTTGAATTGAAGGAATCTCACCTTCTTGTATGGAGCAACATGCATTTGTGTTCTGAAGTTAGATAGTTTCATTGTTGTGCTCCAAAACAAAATAAAGGCTCCCTAATATCATTTACTTAAATTAGTTCATTTTCTAGTCCATTAACCCTCTTGCATGCTGTATTATGACTGCCACGGTTAGGGAACAACCTCTTTGCATGAAGATGAAAACTGTATACATCAAATCCTTCCCAATCCTAAAGTGGTGGGAGTCTTGTTCATTAGGTTGCCCTTTTTTAGCTATGGGTTAAACCAAAATATGAACTGCGTAACAAATGTTATTATGGTTGTTCCGTGTGTTTTTGCTTGATATTCCATTGTTTCAATAATCCTTTTGATTCTATTGTTGAAAGTTAAACTCGACATTTCTCGTGTATTCATGTGGATGAAACGTGCAGGTTGCATTCGGGACAAAGGTTTTTCACCCAAATATCAATAGCAATGGAAGCATATGCCTTGACATCTTGAAGGAACAGTGGAGCCCTGTTCTAACCATTTCCAAGGTTCTCATCCTAAACCATAGACATCTAACATGGGAAATTTGACTAAGCCACCACAAATAATTCACAATAATATTGAATTCCAGTTGGTGATATTCCCGACATAAACACCCTGAAAACTTGGTAGATCACATGTTATTGCCCTAGTTTGTGCTCTGGGCACTAATCAGGGGTATTATCTATTCCAAGATCTGGAGCTCATTTGGGACTGACCCTGTCCTTGTCTTTTTATCTCTTGCTTATTGCTTTGCTAGTTAGGTTTTTGATGCTCCCAAAATGATACATACACTGGTGTGCAGGTTGATTGCTTGTATTTATATGTAAGTGGACCAAAATCTTAAACTTTTTTTTGGGCCTGTTCGGCATCTGGGTTTGGGGGTTTTGGAACAGGGGTTGGAAAATAAAATACAACAACTCCATGTTTGATAAATGCATAGTTAGTCTAGAATTTGAAACTCAGTCTTCATTAGGCTCGAGAATTAAGCCCAAGTTCATGGGTTTCATTTTTGGGCTTGTTTGGTATGTAGGTTTGGGTGGTTTTGGAACATGAGTTGGGAAATAAAATCCAACAACCCCATGTTTGGTAAATACATAGTTAGTTCAGGGTTTGAAACTCAGTCCGCATTAGGCTTGGGAATTAAACCCAAGTTCATGGGTTTCATGAAACCCATCGGGAGCGGGTTTCATATGTGGGTTAATGAGTTTACACTAGCAAATGACATTTATACCCCCATATATTTCATATACGTAAACAAACATGAGTTTAAATTAAATTGGTTAAGGGGCAAAATAGTTATTTATATACAAATATATTATCATAATAGTCATATATCTGTGCGCATATCAAATATGGGTATAGACGGCATTGAATGTTGAATTTCATCATTGAATCCCATCTTTGGGTTTGGACAAGTCAATTCAAACCCTTTTCAACAAACGAACCAAACAACCCCTTTGCATTTACAGTTTTTACTGTCAATCTGTTCTTTGTTGATGGACCCAAACCCTGATGATCCCTTGGTGCCAGAGATTGCTCACATGTACAAGACAGACAAGAACAAGTATGAAACTACTGCAAGGAACTAGACCCAGAAGTATGCCATGGGCTAAGAATATCATCTTATGTCTAAGGACAGAGGAAGTATTACTCTTTCAAATACTTTGGTGTTCCCATTCTATTTGTGAATTAGTTTGATCTGTCGGTTGATCCGAACCGCACAAAAGAAAGGTCCCTGATATGCCCTTTAAAAGAGGGAAAAACACAGATGTTTTTTTTTTCCAGAAGGTAAATGTATTAATATAAAACAGATATACAAGGGTAATCGCCCGCAAAATGTACAATGGAGTCACTTAGGACCCAAATACAAGACAAGAAATCCAAAAATCCAGGGCTCACGACACAAGTCTGTAAGAAATGCCCTGATTAAGAGCATCTACCACAGAATTGTTGACAAGAATACAGATCATGAAACCAATAAATCAAAACACAGCAGCCCAAGTATAGCAACAAAGAGCAGGCCAAAAGACAGTAGCATAGCACGCCATAGCAGCAACAAAACCAACACAACGCAAAACAGCCCATCACCACATAGTAGCAGCAAGCGGACAGCTTTAGAACAAAGCAAACCAACCCAAAACAAGCATAAACAGCCCTGCTCCAGTGCTCCACATAGCAGTAATAGCCTTGCTCCACATAGCAGCAGCAAACAATTTGCAGAAGAAGAAAACAGGACAAGGCAAGCCAGCCCGTCTCATCATAGCACCAATAACCCATATGCATAAGAAAAAACAGAATACGACAAAGCATTCCAGCTCAACATAGTAGCAACAACCTTCAATCTGACAGCCCTAAACAGCAAGTAGGCCACATGCCAAAGCAAAACATCCCAACTCAACATAACAACGCAAAAATTTCTCAAACAAGAATAGAAGAGAGGAACCAAAGATGCCCTTAGCATATAAGAGACCCTCCACCTACCAAATCCTCAAAACGAGACCTTTCAACCATAACATTCCAGCGCAAGCATAACAACCCCAAGCCGCTGCACAGTCAGAGTAGACAGCCCTTTACAGAAAAGGCAAAACAACCCCAAGCAGCAACACAACAAGGCAATATAGACCAACAACAAAAGGCCAGAAAGATGCAAAGCAAACCGAGGGATCCACGGTTCAGCTCATCTCAAACAAGCTTCAAGAAGGTTCCATTGTTGCAGCAGAATTGCATTTTATTGAGTTTTCTTGAATGTCAATGATATGAGCCTTTCTCTGATGGTTTGTGTGATGGAATGGAGAAGAGAACTTGGGTCTTTGCTCTGCTTTTTGAAAATTCTCCCATTCCTCTCAGTCCACAAAGAATAGACAGTAACATAAAGACCAAGCTTTAAAATAGTTGTCTTCATTGATTTCCCTCTCCACTGTTGAGTAGCCCAAGAAATTGAATCAGTCCATTGTCTCTGCTGCCACTGCTGGTTGCTCAGTAGCATAATACCATTCCAAACCTTGTTAGAGAAATTACATTCAAAAAATAAATGGCTGTGTGTTTCATCAGCTCTCCTACATAAAACACATTGTGGGTCAATCTGAGCTACAAATCTTTGAATTCTGTCCTTGGTGCTTAGCTTACATCTGATAGCAAGCCAAAGGATGAAGGCCAATCTAGGGATAGCTTTACCATACCAGACAAGTTTATACCATTGCACAGTTGAATCTTCACTCCTGATATGTTCCCATGCAGAATTAGTAGAAAAGTTACCCTCCGCAGTTAAGGTCCACTTGACTGATTCCTCAGTATCTTGGTCAGAAAGATAGCTTGGCATTGCATCGATGATTTCCTGCACTTGAATGGAAGTACCAATTGTTCAATTCCATTGGTTGTTCAAAATAATTTTGCTAACCTTCACGTTTCTTGAAATTATGGATTCTAGCAAGATCCTTGGGTCTCTTCTTTGAAGGAGTGGACCAAGGGGATGCCAGTTATCCAGCTACAGGCTGGTAGCATTCCCATTACCTACCCTGTGGATAATACAAGGCTTGAGCAATTCTCTAAGTTTAAGCAAATTTCTCCAATTTCAAGAGCATGTTTGGGTGGCTTTGAGGTCCCAAAGGATTCTTTCCTTGACGTAATAGGCATGAATCGGCTGAGACCATAAATTCTCCTTGTCATTAAAAAGCTGCCACAGATGCCTCATAAGCAGTGCTCATTTCCATTCCCTCAACCTTTTGATACCAAGCCCTCCATCCTCTTTAGGTTTATATACCTCTTTCCAGGCGACCTTTGCTCCCGTATGACTAAGATCATTACCTTTCTAGATAAAAGATCTCAAGATCTATTCAATTCTATGAATAACCTTCTGTGGAAGACTCAAATGAGAGGCCCAGAATATGTGCAAGCTGCATAGAATAGAAATGACCAGCTGAACTCTACCAACATATGAAAGTGATCGATTGACCCAAGACTTAACTCTTGATTCCCCCTTTTCAATAAGACTGGAGTAGTGTTGATGCTTCAAACCAAACGAAATGAGTGGAACACCTAAGTATTTGATAGGCAAATTCCCCTCATCAACAACAAACAAATTCTTGATATGACAAGCAGTATCTTCATTTATTGCACACAAGAAAGTATTACTCTTTCCTGCATTAACCTAGAGCCCTAAAGTCACACTAAACTGGTCCAAGGAATTCTTGATCACTAAGGCAGAGTTCATGTCATTGTAGCAAAACAACATCAAGTCATCGTCAAATGAAAGTTGGGCAATTTTGAGAGTTTTACACCTCCAATGGAATCTGAAGCTTGGATTTGAACTAATGTTGAACTGGATAAGAAGAGATAAACACTCCATTGCAATGACAAAAAGGTAAGGGGATATAGGGCCACCCTACCTTAAACCTCTCCTACTAGGGAAGTATCCAACCAACCCACGATTAATATTCACTGAGAATTTAGCAAAGGTAACACATGCTTGAATCCATCTCCTCATGGTGTAAGGAAAATTAAGAGCCTCCAATGCTTCAAACAGAAAAGTCCAGTCAAGTGTGTCATAAGCTTTCCTCAAATCCACCTTTAGCGCACATCTGGGGGGGCCCTTTTTTTTTTTATCGTAATCCCTCATTAACTCTTGAGTGAGCAGAATATTGTCACCAATCTTCTTTCCATGGACAAAGGCTGCTTGGTTTGGGTTTATAAGACTGGGAAGAGAACCTTTAATCCTATTGGCAATAATCTTGGATATAGCTTTATACATGACATTGCAACAAGAAATAGGTCTGTAGCCCCCCATAGTAGTAGGATTGGGAACTTTGGGAACTAACGCAATGATGGTACTGTTTACCTCCTTCAATAACCTTCCCGTTGAGAAAAATTCCTTCACTACAACAACAATGTCCTTCTCTATGATATGCCAAGCGCTTTTAAAAAACACAACATTGAACCCATCAGGACCTGGGGCTTTTTGGTCATTGAAGGAGAAAAAAACTTTCTTGATTTCCTCCTCAGTGACTTCCCTTTCCATTTCAGCGGCTTGTTGATCAGTAACTCTGTTTTGGATAATCGGTTGCAACAAATCCCTGTTCTCATTTGAATAGAAGGGCTGTCACAGGAGCTTCTGAAAATAATCCAGAGTCTCAACTTTCACAGCTAGTTTCCCTTCAACCCTTGTGCTTTCAGCCCTCGTAAGAGCCAAAATCTTTTTCTTGTTCTTTCTATTAGCTATAGTCTTGTGGAAGAAAGATGTATTCTTGTCCCTTTCGCTGAGCCATTGGACCCTAGATTTCTGTTTGTAAAATCCCTTCTCAATGTTAGCAGCTTGAATGTACTTTGCAAGGAGTTATTGTTCCTCTTTATTCATGGCAGTGTCACTTGGGTTACCATCCAGCATTCTTTGACATCTCTCCAAAGCTTCTTTGGCTCTAACTATAACTTCCCCAATATTCTTGGTTATCACTTTAAACATTGTCTTGAGAAGTTTGAGTTTGTAGCAAATATGATACTGACAAGTCCCTTGAATAGGTTGCAACCAAATCTGAGTCACTAAGTTTAAGACATCCTCTTTCTCAGCAAGGAAGTTAAAAAATTTGAAAGGGTTGTTTCTCCTTTCCACTTGAAGTCCCATATGCACAACAACAGGACTATGGTCAGAAACACCAAGAGGTAAAAAATGTGTCATAGCCTGTTGAAAGGTGAGACTCCATTTTTCATTCACCAGGACTCTATCCAGCTTACGAGCCACACATCCATGACCACCCCTCTTATTACGCCATGTAAATTGAATACCTGAGTACCTGAGATCGATAAGCTCGGAATTCTGTAAGCATTTATCAAATTCTTCCATTCTAGAGTTCCATCTGTTATGTCCCCCTTCATTTTCCTGTAAGCTCCTAATAGCATTAAAATCACCTAAAACCACCCAAGGTTCATTGGAGAAGATACTAGCATGGTAGATAAGATTGCTCCATAATGGTCTTCTTTCTCTATCATCACTAAGGCCATAGACAAAAGAGGCTATGAATTGTACCCTACTCTCAAGATGCTTGATCTTGCAATGGACAACTTGATTAGACTCAGAGATCTTACTAAGCTCCACATTATTTGGGTTCCACCCAATCCATATCCTTCCAAAATTATGACTATCATAGTTTGCTAGACAATTCCAATCTCTAAAGACCCCCTGTATGATTCTATTTTTATTTACAGGTTTCACCTTTGTTTCAACCAACCCCAATATATCAAGCTTCTGCTCAAAAATAATTTTCCTAACCTCCCCATATTTAGAAGTCTCGTTAAGACCTCTAATGTTCCAACATGCACAATTCATTGAGGGGGTTGAATTTTTCTGAGCAAGTGGTGCTCAGCCACCTTGGACTTTGAGTCTTTCTTCTTCCCTTTCTTTTTTTTGTTTGGCATTTGTTGAAGTTTAGCACTAATTGGTTCCTCCTCCTTATGGACATCCTCGGTTGTTTCATTTGGTACGTTTGCTTCAAGCTCAATCTTTACTCTTAAATCAACCACAATTTGCCCCCTCTTTGTTGAGCTCCTCAAATTTATTAGATGCCAAATTAACACCAACTTGCATGAGCAGTTGAGGAGGGGTACTCTCATTGACTGTTATCTTAGTGATATGGTGATCATGACCCAAAATATCTTGTTGAGAAGAGTTAGAGGCGCCACCTTGGATAACCATTCCCATATTATTCTTGATCGTGACCGAGGAAGAAGCTTGGTAACCTCCTATCAGTTCCTCTGCTTGAGTCTGACCAGCCTCTTGCTGCTCTAACCCAATCATAGTTGCAATTGCCTTTCCCTTATCAAGCCTAACTGAGCTGGCTTGTAAAGGAGCTGGTTTGGATTTCCAGCTTTCCACAGTTCTTTGTTTGGGACAGGTTGACTCGTTGTGACCAAAAATGCAGTAGTTATGACAAATTTTAGGTCTCCAGTGGTACTCCACCTTGATCTCTATGGTTTCAATTTTCCCCTGGATGTCCATGAGGTGGTCAAAGCTTTCAACCAGTTTTTCAACAGCATTCAGCTCTACACATAATCTTGCGTTACTTAATCTCCTCTTACTCGCAGTAAGAATGTCAGCATAAAGCAGTTTACCCACTGCACTAGCAAGGTAGCTAAGTCCTTCATCACTCCAAAATTGGAGGGGGATGTTATGCAACTTAATCCATAGTGGAATTACAAAGTGGTTCTCTTTGGTTAGGCAAAGATCAGGATGCCACTTTTTGATGATGAGTGGCATACCAGAAAAAATCCAAGGGCCAGCTTCACATACTTTGGTTCTATACTCATCATCCATGAACTTAAAAAAATTGAACCCCTTTTCATTTGCATAAACCTCAAGAAGGCCCATATTGCCCCAAATCCTGTGAGCTATAAAGCTAATAGATGTGAAGGGGAGTTTTTTTTTATGAAGTAACCAACAAGGCAGTTTCTCCACTCATGACAGCCCTTAGAGACAACTTCCATGGGGGGATGGACAATGATTCTATTCTTCTCTGTTTTGGGTTTAAAGTATTGAAGGTTCATTACCTCAGAAGGGTGTTGTTGCAGAGAGCTGGATTTTTCCATAGCATTCTGCTTTAATACTTGGCTCCATGGCTTTTCAGGTGTGGGCTTAGTTTGTGGAACACTCAAATGCTTGCTTGGATGCTGCCTATTAGAAGATCCCCAAACCGGGGGAACAGGGGAAGAGTCCCGAACATTGTTACCTGTAGGGAAGAGTCCCGAACATTGTTACTTGGATGCCACGGTGGTCCTTTATCTCAACATCAACTGTTGTTGAAGTCGCGGATGGAGTCTTGTTTGCAATAACTTCATTCGGCAAAGATGGTGGGTTTGGTGGAGTATCTTTCTGTGCACTGCCTAGTGATGTTTTAGTGAGAGATTGGGTTGACCCACTTTCATTAATAGTTTGGTAGTTGGCAGAACAAGTAGGAGCCCCGTCGATCTTCTTTGGATCTTTGGAAGTAAATGCCTCCCCTATCATGGCTGAGCTGGAATGGTTTGCATAAATTAATTGGAAGGAAGGTTGGGCAGAGGATAAACAGAAGAAACCAGAGGACGAGAAGAATAGGGGATTTGAGTAAATGAGGTGGGTAGCGGTAGGAAATGGAGAATTGAAGGAGATTAGGGGAGGATGAGAAAAAAATTGACATGGAAATTCTAGGGTTCAAGGAGGTTGGGGAAAGGCACAGAGAGCCATCAAGCCGCAATATCTATTATTCGTTGTATTAAGTTAACACAGATGTTACTTCTGAACGTTGGCATATGTAATTTAATCTCCTAAACTAAGCATTGTTTCCATATCATATTTGTCTACACAAGTAGTTCTACTTTCCTTTCTGAAAAAGCAGAGAAAACAAAAGGAAAGGTAAACAAGAGCAATAACCAAAATAGGACCCTTGCCAAAGACAGATGCATGCACTGCAAGACCACTTTAGATCCAGCTCTGGAACTTGCTCTATGAATTTAGGCTCGAACGAGCTGCAAACCCCCGGTAATTCTCTGCAATTTGCCTACTAAATTTCATAAAGCATTCCGACTTGCAAGGTCTTTCCCGGTGGGACTTCATGTATGGAAAGTTCAGGCCTACAGTTTTTCTGCAGAAATCTGTACAGGTAATCTATTATGAAGCGAACAAACCATCCATTGTTCCGGTTTGTCTTCAGAATTGTCCGGCCTATTACAAAAACAACTCCCTTTTCTGCTGCTGAATCTAGTCTTTCTATTTCGCCGGTGGATTCAGCGTGCTCTTTGAGTTTTGCCAGCACTGAAGCAACAAATTCATCTCCGGCAACTGCAATGCTCTGTGAATCATTGTAACCAAACTGAACCAAACACCTATAAACCCCATCACTTCCCAGTTTTCCAACATTAAACCTTTCCTCTGGTAAAACCTTTTTGACTGGGAGTGTTCTAAAAGTTACAATCACCATGGTTTCATGCACAGAACTTGTGTGCTGAATGTAATGCCGGATGATGGGTGGAATCCCATTGACAAGATCAGTATAGAAGAAGCAAGTTCCGGATGCTCGATAAACCGTATTTCTTGCTAGCATTTGGTTCAGTTCACCCAAGCTCATCTTCCTCTCGGCTTCATATGCACTCTTCCTACTCCTTCCATATAACCAAGAGAACATGACTGTCAAGAAGAAAGCTGAGATAGCAAATGGAACCCATCCTCCTTGTGGGATTTTGGTGAGCAAGGATGTCATAAAGACACCTTCAATCAGTATGTAGGGCACAAAAAACGTTAGTATGAGAAGAACATGTGTGTTCCAAACGAGCAGCATCACCAACGTTGTCAAACACGTTGTAATGATCATCACCCAGATAACAACCGCACCTGCCAGGCCCACCCAAACAAAAAGGGGTTGATTTAAATGATTATCCTTCTATTTGTGAATATTTGAATTTAGTCCTCTCAAAATTTGATTGGATACAATTAATTGACACGAGTTAAAAGGATTTAGGCGAGTTTTTATTAGATTTTAATAATAAATGGGTAGACCGTAACATTAGTTTAATAAACAGGTTATATTTGGACAAGACATATCAATCCATTTAAATAAAATTAATAAAATAATAATTATTAAAAATTATTGCCAGAATAATATATATAGCTATTAATTAAATCAATTTTTTTTTAAAAAATTAATAATAATTTTTTTTAGTGAATTATAACATTTTTAAAACAAACAGGTTACGAGTTAAAAGATTATCTTATCAACCCGATTCGTTTATTAAATTAGTTATATGAATTGTGTTATACAACCAATTTAATAAATAAATCATGTTCGATTAGAAGATTTTCACCCGTTTACTTAAATAAGTTGGGCATTGGTTTACAAGTTTTTTATACAAACTCGATTAGACCACAACCGTTTAACCGGATTTGAATGACACCCCTCATCGTGATAATGCGTTGACTTGAAACAAGTCTCCCTTCTCCGAAATGTAATCAAATTTAATAGTTTGAACTACCCAGAAAACTAAGATCATTGAAGGTGACTTACCGTAAGCATTTGCTAGAGCAACACCATCTCTAAACCCAATGACAAGTCCAATACATAGAATCATGAGAGTGTAGTTTATCTCTGGGCAATAGATTTGTCCTTCATGCTTGGAAGAAGTATGAATTATATGAACCCGAGGGAAGCAACCCAGAGCCTGAGACTGCTTCACTATAGAAAAGCACGCAGATATCATAGACTGGCTTGCAACAATGGCGGCGAGGTTGGAGAGAATGAACATCGGCCAGTACACGGGTTTTGGAACGGAACTATAATAGGCGTCGGTGATTTTATCAGGGTGTTTGATTAAATAGGCTGTCTCGCCGGCGTAAGCCAGGACCATCGCCGGATAAACGATGAAAGAGAAAGAGAACTGCACCAAGCCATATATTCCAATGAAATAACAGACAATTTAAAACAGGAATCAGAGTTAGTTAACCGAATCCGGCTCCTCTACTGTTAAAACAATGCTGTTTTAATCAACAAAAGGAGAAAATTCTCACCCCAGTTAACCTACTCTAATGGTTTGAGAAAACTTACTTGAATTGCTCTCTTGTTGAAGTGACCCATATCAGCAAACATGGCCTCAACCCCTGTCACATAATTTACAAAAGATTGGCAATGAGTCTCTCTTTTTACTAAGGAAGTTGAAAAGATTTTTGTTATTGTGATTTCTAGACGTGACAATTTCATGCATGATTTGCGACATAACGCAAAATGGACATAGAATTAGCAAAATTTTTCTCAAAAGTATTATGATTTTCAACCTAGCACCTGATTTTTGGTTTATTTTTTAAACTACAATACTTTCTATCATTCTATGTGAGCATGTCACACCTCTATATTGAAAAGTTTAGGTTAAAACCGTGCTTTATATAAACAATGATAGAAGTTGAAAAACAAGGGGAGATTATAAAAAAGGATGACAATGAGCAGATTTGGGTAAATAAACCCAACTAGACATGACATGAACCATCTTTGAAGTATACGCCATACTAATTAGACTTTGCAAGACTAAATAGATCAAAAATGAATTGAATAAATGTTAATATAATATGATACGGGCTCAATATAATATGATCGATTATCAGCTTCAACCCCAATAACAAGAAATTATTTACCTGTTATGCTCAAGAACACTGCACCGAGGAGATCCCAACCAGTCTTGCCATTGCGTGAGAAGATTTGAAAGCTGTAGTGAGGTGACACTGCCTTCAAAATGGATGGTTGGTGTCTGAAGATATTGTAGATTCCGATTGCAGCATTTGTAACAAACCACAACAGCATAATTGGAGAGAATGCGAAGCTGACTTTACTTGTTCCACAACGTTGGAAGGCGAAGAGGATTATTAGAACAACAACCGCCAAGAAAACAATCTGGTCTGCAACAACAATAACCAGAACACCTGGGTGAGTTTTCGAAGCATCTCTAATTTGTTTTTGTTGGGAAAATAACACTTTGACCCCTTTTTAATTATGGAATCAATTTTAATTTGGCCATTGAATTATTGAATTTTTTACATTCCCCCTAACTACTTGAATTGATTTCGCAATGTCCCAATCGCACAAGCCCGTAGTCTTGTGAATGAAAATTGTCAATATGCCGGGGGTAACGTGAAAATAGTTTGAGGCAAAATAAAATAGTTTTAAATTTAATTTATAACGGATGTTAATCATTGAGGTAATACAGAATTAATAACATAGTTGTAAATTCAATATTAGAAACACAACAGTTAAGAGGACAGTATAAAAGAAATATCTGGTCGAGGAAATCAAATGTCAGTTGCTCTATTTGATCCTTTTTATTTTGAAGTTTAGTTGCTTTTTATAGCTGATGGTCCAGTCAAGATTAAGGTATCGTTAGACAATATTTCTTAAGCATATTTTGTTTAATTTAACTTTTTATATGGTTGACTCCTTCCATCCAATCCAAGTCCTACATAACATAGATCATTCCCTAGTAGTGTGTGTGTGAGGGAGTATCCTCTGTAGTCTCTACTCGCTTGACCTTACATTTTGTTCTATATTTTATGTTTTTCTTTTTTATTTGGGTTTGTTCTGATTCTATTTTTGTCAAAGACAAAATTGCACATATCAACCTCAAAGTATGACCTTTGTGTCAATTAATATCTTAAACATTTTTTTTTTGTGTGTCAGTTGAATTCCTAAATTTTTTTAATTGTCAATTGAACTTTTTTGTCCGCCTTTGTCAGACTTTTTAACAGGAAGTGGAGAAGTGTGACGCTCACGAAACATAAATGAATTACAACTAAATCACGTGAGTAATATAGTCTGTCACTTTCTATTATAAAATCTAACAAATGCAGATAGAAGAGCTCCATTGACATAAGTAAAGAATTTCGGAACTCAATTGATCAAAAAAAAAATTTCAGAAACTTTGACATGAGAGTCATAGTTTGAGAATCACATGTGTAGTTTACTCTTTGGCAAATAACTATCACATATGTTGTTGCCTTTTAGAGAACTTAGAAACAAGGGTACCTTGTGTTATTTTTGAGGTTCCTGCTTGGGTTAATCCTTGAAGAGCTGGAAGAACTGCAAGAAAAAATCAATCATGTATATATATATATATATATATATATATTTGCAGAAGTACACCAAACGATTTAGCATCGTAGTGTCACATATAACCTATAAATATATTAGTGTGTGTGTGTGTGTGTGTGTGTGTTGGTGATAAAACTGGAAGTTTACCACAAGTTGCAGGAGTGAGTGCCCCATCGCCAATGACCATGCAAGTTCCAAGCAACACAACAAAAGTAAGAAGATTCTGAGCAACGAGCTTCTCTCCAAGAACTTCTTAGTCTTTGATCGGAGAGGACTCCCCGGAGGCCGGTAATACGTCAGGTTTCCAACTGACTCCAACCTTGTGTTCTGAAACGTGAGTCTGCTGTGAAAACTTATATGTCGCCGGATAATCGAGTACAGAGCGAAGGTACCACCTTCTCCATGATCATTGGCATGAAGAACTATGAACACATATTTGACCAGACAGAGTAATGTCATAGTCCAAAAGATGAGGCTTAGGACACCTACTAGGTCGTCTTCATTAAGGTTTGTGATGGCCGTGGAAGAGAAAGTGTTGACAGGGGATGTTCCCAGGTCTCCATATACAACTCCCAGAGCTTGGTATGCCAGCATCCATGTTTGCAGTGTAGGATATTCCTGAAGATCATAGAGAGAGAACCAAATCTTCCCCTTAGTAAAATGTTGGAATTCTTCTTAAATTGGACTTTTGTTAATTATTTTAAGTGATATGTTTCGATCTACTTATGTTAATCTATAATATAAAACAAAACAGTTTCAATAAGTTAATCTTACGGTTTTAAATTCATTTATTCAACGGTCAAGAAATTACAATTTTTTTCCTTAATATTCCCCTCCAATAAATCAACGATTACGGCTGATCTTAGAACATATTTTACGATCTCAAATTCAGTCATCCAACGGTCAAGAAATTAATATTTTTTTCCTTAATATTTTCCCTCTCAACCAGTCAACGATTACGACTGATCTTGAAATACATGATTTTCTCTGACATAATAATTAAATAGGTCAAATTTGTCATTAATATCATCTGTGTAGTGTAATGTTTTGAATTTGTATAAGACGCAATGATAATATTTTGATTAAAAAAAGCTCATCAATTTATTTAAGATAAAATAAAAACAAGGTCGATGCTTAACACATTTATATTGAATATAATTAATTTTATTTTATTTATTTAATTATTTATCTCAAACTAATATGTCTTATACATATCTTAAATCAAAAATTCAAGACTAATTTTTTTTATATCTTAAGGAAATCCAACGCTAATATGTTCTTTTAAATTAATAATTTTGTAATAGCTTGTACTAATTAAAAAATATTATTTTATAAATGATATTTATAGATCTTTTTTTGATAGAAAATATTTTGGCGATAGACTTTTTGATAAATTAAATTTAACTCGATTTTAATTCCATGTATATAAATGAACTTTTTTTTAAGTTAATTTTATCATATTTTGTGGATTTATCTATAATATCCATAATATAAAATATAAAATAAGGCGGCTTCAACATGTCTATCCTACGATCTAAAATTTATTCATCCAACGACCATTAACATCTCTCTTAAAATCATTCATATTGAATTTTATCCTCCTCTTCTCATTCTTCACTTTCTCTCTCTAGCTGTGGCAGAGATGGAGGGGTCTAAGATCACCCTGAAAAAATATTTTTTTTTTAGTTTTATAAGTTTTATATATATTTTTTGGATTAATTGAGCCCACTGCAATGATTTATGAAAAACAAAATTAATTAGGTCAAATAAGTTGGGTACTAGAACAAAAAAAACAAAAACAAAAAATTCATATCAATCTCTTAAATTTAGCAAACTATAATCTATAATATAAAACAGGGTGACTTCTACAAGTCTATCCTACGATTTCAAATTCATTCATCTAACGGTCAAAAAATTATCATCTTTTCCGTAATATTTCCCTCTCAACTGGTCAACGATTACGGCTGATCTTGGAATACATTTTACGGTCTCAAATTTATTCATCCAATGGTCAAAAAATTAACATTTTTTCCTTAATATTTTCCCTTTCAACCAGTCAAAGATTATGGCTAACTTGGATCACAAGATTTTTTCTAACATAATAATTATGTGGTTCAAATTTGTCATTAATATCAACTATATAGTATAACATTTTAAATTTGTATAAGAGACAATGATAATATTTGATTTAAAAAAACTCATCAATTTAACATATTAAAAAAAACAAGGGCGTTGCTCATTTACATTGAATATAATTAATTTTAATTTTATTTATTTAATTAAATATCTCAAACTAACATGCCTTACACATGTCTTGAATCAAAAGTTCAAATTTTTTTTATCTCTTAAGAAAACCCAACGCTAATATATTTTTATAAATTAATAATTTTGTAATAACTTGAACTAATTAAAAAAATAATATTTTATAAATAATATTTGTAGATCTTTTTTTGATAGAAAATATTTTGGCGATATACTTTTTGATAAATTAGATTTTTAGTTTGTATTAAATTTGACTCAATTTTGATTATATGTATATAAATTAATATTTGATTTTGATTACATGTATATAAATTAATATTTTTTAAGTCAATTCTATTATATTTTGTGGATTCTATAATATAAAATAGGACGGGTTCAACAAGTCCATCCGACGGTCTCAAATAAGTTCATCCAACGACCACTAACATCTCTCTCCATAACATTCATATTAAATTTTACCTTCTTCTTCTCACTTTTCACTCTCTTTCTCTGGAAGTGGCGAAGGGAGGAGGGGCCTGTGGCCACCTTGAAAAAATAATATTTTTTTAATTGTATATGTTTTATATATTTTTTTAGATTATTTGGGTCCACTGTAATGATTTATGAAAAATAAAATTAATTGGATCAAACAAGTTAAGTACTAGAACAAAAAAATAAAAACAAAAAATTCATACCAAATCTCTTAAAATTAGCAAATTAAAATTGATTCCTTAGAGTATTTGTATGATTTGTTGAAGTCTCTATTGGTTCAAAAATTATAGAATATATAGCAAAAAATGAGTAAAATATAGAACCTATAAAAAGATTAAAAATTATAGAATATTATTTTTATTTGTATAACATAAATTATATTATTGATCCTTAATGTATAGATGTAATCTAATTAATTTTTTTCAAATAGACCTTTTTTATGTTTAATAAATTTTTAAGTATCAAATTTAATATAAAAAATATAAATATATCACACTATTTTTATCTATTATACTTAAACTGTGTCCATCCTAAATCATATTTTTGGCTCTCCCACTGCTTTTAGGGATTTTTACTCTTCACTTTTTCAAATTAATTGGTTGATTTATATTGCATTGTGTCTTCAAGCACGGGTTACCCCTAGTCTTTTAATAAGACACAACAAAAATTGAACAACCATTAGAAAAAATCATACCTGGCGTTTGGTTTATACGCCGTCTATTCTAGTGTAAGGAAAACTCTTACGCCAAAAAATTCCAAATTTCTTGTAGTGAGTTAAAGATATTGTCATCATGTTATCATAAAAAGACCCAAGAATCATTATCGTGACTCATACAAGTGGTTCTAAATTCATAGACTGTTCAGTGGAATATTAGATAAGATGCTACTTATTAACTACCATAAGATACAAATGAACCCAAAGTCAATGCAGCAAGTCTTGGATTCCAAGTACTTTGGAATGCAAACTCCACCACTTAAATATATCCCTGTCCCAGCCCATTTTCTTTCTTATCTTTTCTCAGTATGTCAACACACACTTTCAGGCTACTTTAATGTGGAAGATGGAGCTTTGAAAGCTACATTCAAAGTCCCTCTTGCTTCTTCACCGATTGATCAACCATCCGCTTAAGGTGAGTATGAGGGAAAAATATTGGAGTACAGTGCCCGAGACTCTCTCCTACAAGGGGTCTAAGAGAGATAAGTAGCAACTTTACTCGTATTTTAAAGAGGTTGATTTCAAGATTCAAACTTAAGTTGTATTACCTGGACTGATATGCATGCGTAAAATAAGAAGGAAAAAAAATTCAACAAAAAAAATACCTTAGGTTTGTTTATAGGAGTCTGGTATATATCACTAAAACTCAAGGATCTGTTTATGATATCCATTCGTTCAATATGTGTGCTGCGTCGGTCGGAACCATTAGATGCCGTTTCAAGGTCTCCTTCTACGGTGGAGTTGCTGGCTTTAGCATCTGCCATGAATCTAACTTCTGAGCTACTTTATTATGCAATTAAGGTTGTGCTGCTTTTTCTGCTTCTTGCCTCTTCTTATACAAGTTGTCTCAAGAAGTGCTATGCATGTAGTACATTCATTTACAGCCATACAAATAATATAAGAGAGCAGGTACATCAAATGCTAAAGAATTGTGATGGCCTATGTGCAATTACGCACGCGGAAAGATTATAAAAGAGAGCAGGTTAAGTCAATCCAAATCCATAATTACTAGACAAATAATGCAATTAACAAATGAAATCCTTCAAAGAATCATAGTTTATCAGTACTTTCACTTCACCGGGAAACTCTACCGTACCCAAAAAAAAAATTAAACACGTAATCAATCATGAAAATCTCTGTATCGATGTCAACTTTCTATGATTGATCATACATATCTTTTAAAATTATAACATACACTTCAAAAAAATTATAATTTAACTTTGAAAAATTATAATTTTTAATATCAGTTCTGTCGGCAGCATCTAACATTTCCCAACTTCACCACATACAAATTCAGTTTAGTCATCCTCTAGTTTTCTTTTTAATTATGGAAAAAGAGTGATTAAATTAAAAAAACTTCTCGAATTAGGTTGTTGGAGGGTTGATTTGACAAGTGATTAATAGTTATCTAATTACTTGTGACAAGGCATCGTGTAGGTCTTTGGATTACTCAACTGCCCTTAGTCTTTATGCCAAATGACTAACTAATGTCAACCGGCCTGAATATTAAAGGTATCAATTGAATTATATCGTATTTTATATATTGTATTCGTATAAACCGTAAATCACGAATTGCAAAATTAGGCCACTCTATTTTCTTGGTCAAATCTACTTTGTATTTAATTGATAATTAGATCCACCATGTCCAATGGAGAGGCCAATGGAAGAAGTTCCCATTGACGTTACAGTTAATAGGTCACATGGGCTTACCCAGAATTTAGTAACATTCCACAAGAAAGATCTGGCCTGTAGTGTCATGTAGCTTTCAAACTCTCCAAATACAATGAAGAAGAAACCTGAAGCTTAATGCCTCCTTTTCTGAATCGAATCCACCTTGTTCTCCACTTATTAATTAAAAAACAAAAGGGAAATTTTCAACTACATTCTTTTTAATTTATCATATTCAAAATGTTACTGACACCCGTTTAGTTTATATTTAAACATCACTGATGCCCCATGCCGTTAACCATCATTTAACAATTTTTTTTATATAAAATACTAAAATTGTGCCTACATAAATCCTAAACAATATTTCTACATAAAATTCGAACTGATTAAAATTCACTTTTTTACGTATAAAATTTTATTTGATTAAAACTTATTTTTCAACATATTAAAATTTAAACCGATTAAAATTATATTCAAACTAATTAAATTTTATTTTTTACGT